AACTCCACGAGCGCCTTCTCCACAAATCCGGAGACTTCTAAAGCGATAAGCGCCCGACTGGAGTGGGATGAAAGCTTTCAATTTCCTTCCTACGCCTTATTCTTCCCTTGGCCTTTCGATGCTTGTTATAGAATGATCCTGAAGAGGGGGCTAGAAGAGAAAAAGGAGCAAGCTTTGCAATTTTTTTACTTGGTGTGGCGGCCAGGTGTATGTTTAATGCTTATGTGGAATCTTTCAGTCAACTGCCGAAGGAGAAAAGTAGGTGAATTTATTCAACAAACAAGGAGTCGTCCCTGGAATGAAACCCGATCTCGGTGTCGTTCCTCCGGCTGGAACTCTCGGAGAAACAACCACCCAAGGCTTAGACAACTTCGCTCAGAGAGCCGCTGTTTCAAGAAGGTATGCTGTGTTTGATTTATCTTGGGCACCGTAATTAAAGGAATGAACGAACGAACGAATTTATGAAAATTTGTTCTGCAGTGAGGATGTGGTTTCGCAAAGTAGCGTTGTGTATTGAATTGAACATTGGACCTCACACTCCTTCTCACTTGGGAATATTCGGAAATGCCAACGTTGTAGCCAGGTCAGTGAGTTGCTCGTTTTCATACCTTTTCTGCAGTCATAATGACCTTGAAGTGACACTTGAAAATTTTGTTTCAAGGTCACTGAGCAAGTGTTGGCTTACGTCTAAAAGACCTGGGCTGATCATCACCTCTACCTCGAGGGTACTTTGCTGAAACTCAACATGGTCACTCCTGGTGTGGAATGTCCGACAAGGTGGGTAAAGATGGAAAGCAGTATCAAGCGAGTGTAGAAAATTCATGTCTTTTCTCAGGTCAGCCACGAAGAAATCGGTTTGGCTACAGTCACAGCTCTTCGCCGAGAAATCCCAGCTATTGTCCCCAGTATCACATTCCTTTCTGGTGATAATCCGTACTGGATGCAACGATATAAATGAAATAAATGTTTGATGGATATAAAAGATGTTTCCAATAAACAAGGTATCATTTCGCTGGCCTTGCATGCAGAGGGAAAAGAACTGGAGCGGTTCCGCTTCCCCCCCCCCACACACACACTCACACACTCACACACACACACTCACACACACAGAACACACATTTTCTTTTCAGGAGTAGTAGGAGTAATTGGAGTGATGAAGTGGTGCACGGTTCTGAAATGTTAGGACTCGGACACGTCGTCTCGCGATTGAGGACGTTGATCGCGGAAATCCACATTATGGGTACCGCGCCAATGTGCGAGGGACGGGACACATTCGCTCTGAATACATCGTTGCTGGCTAATTACTTTTTTGCGTGCGCTAAAATCATAGGACACCTCAAAAAAATATGAATACCTCGACTTCTCGATAACAACGTCCATCGCAACCTATGAAATCATAACCACATTAATGAAAAACCTACACTCACAAACCACCAGGTTACCCGAGCCGAAAGTGAACAAATAGTAGATAAAGCCAAAGCGAACACAAAATAAATCACATATCAGCTGATCAAGGTGTATTGATTCCCCTATCAATTGCTGGCTTGATGCCACCAATGTCCGGATAACTCGTCCGGACATTGCTCTCTGCTACGCCCGCCTCCTTCGTTGCTGTTTGACAGGGGGTCCCATATTGGGCCTCTTCGACGGTTTTTTCGTTTTTTCTTCACTGTCGTTCCACTTCGCCATCTCTACACTCAGTTTCAGGCGCCATAATACCCAAATCGAGCCCGACTTTTGCCTTTAAATGAATTTTTTGGTGGACGGTGGGGTAGCAGGGCTTTTTTATGAACAGTTTTGGGGAGAATTAAACAACCTTTTCATAGTTCGGCTTTTGAAGAGGGTCGTTTCATGGACTTCGGCCTCTGGAGGGAGGGGGGTCGTATTTCCAAATTTTCCTCGACGCTCTCGCTTGACCCTGCTTTCCATGCATCGTCTCCACCCGCAAATTTTTTATTATCCGTTGAAACTTGAAAAACGGGGCACTCGTTCCACAGTGAATCTGCTGGCGTCTTCGAGTCTAGCTGTTGCAACTTGTTCCCATTTGCCGCTCACTTGATTCCGTTGATTGCGCTAAACATCAGCGTAATCAGCCGCAAGAGCCGGTTAGAGGGGAGAAGACTACGCTATTAGCGGATTTCTAGCTAGGCAAGATTTTTCTATATATGCTGTCAGGAATGTGATTCTGTCTGTGGATGTGGGGTTACATTGTAAAGTGAGAAGGTCTCACCCGTACCCAGTTCCCATTATTTTTATTATTGAACTTCTTGAAGGAGTGTTCATTTCGGTCTGTTCTTGTCAAGTCATATGTTCGGATCTCTTCAGTCTCCCTTATCTCTCAATTTTCAATGAATGGGAAAGGTTCATCTCGTTTGGTTTTTCAACCGAAACAAATGAGCCCAACTAAATATTAAAGAGCACACTCTTTTCTATCGAAAAACCACATAACAGCCTTCTACACCGACGACATCAGAAGATATTACCACGGAAACATGGCTAGCGGGATGAGCTCAACGAGGTATGTAGAGCGATTCATAGTCACACTAGCTGTGACTATGAATAACGCTTTTGATCAGCGTTTCAGGGGAGTCGTAGCCTATTATACCTCGAACGCTATAAAACTATTAACCAGTTAATCCGTTGAAGAAGCTTCAACGGATCAGCTTCAGGCCGGAGCGATTACGGTAAGCCTCGTTGAGCTCGACGGTGACGGCAGATGACGTCATATTCTGAAGACGGTGGGGCAGTGAAGGAGGGCCTGCTTCTGCTTATGGGGAGGACACCTAAGGAATATTCTGCCGTAAAACATTCATCAACAACGGCATCCTGTGCGACGAAAAATTTGATGATGTGCGCCATGGGCGGAGTGACTTCGCTCCTTCCCACCCACCCCTGTATATATGGATCACCTACCTGTATCACCTGTCGTCCCGTTGATCGTCGATTTGCTCGAGCGGGCGCCAGCAACGTCTCCATTCGTCCCTGTAGAGTGGTCCAGTGGATCCTCCTCGCTCGAGGGACACGAAGTCCTTCATTCCTTTCGTTCAGAGCTTTCGTGAAGAAGTCTGACCATCGGGCCGGCGGTCGTCCAGGTGTTCGTTTGACGTCCCGAGGGATCCAGTCGGTAACCGCTCTGGTCCAACGGTCATCGCAAAATCGCATGACGTGTCCGGCCCACCTTATCTTCGATTCCTTGGCGAAAACGGCAGCGTCCCTGATCTTCGATCGTTGGCGTAGTTCGAACTCCGGATTCCCCTCTGCACTTGCGTGTATAGGGTTACTCCTAGCATCGTCCTCTCGACAGCGCGTTGGATAACGCTGACCGCATGCTCGTCCTGCCTGCGCAGAGTCCAAGTCTCTGAGGCGTAGGTTAGGGCAGGAAGGACAGCGGAATCGAAGAGGTGGGCACGGAGCCGGATGTTCTTCGTCTTCTTCACTACTCCCTCGATGTTCTTGAACGCTCCCCATGCCGCTCGTTTCCTCCTGCTCAGCTCTGGAGCTAGGTCGTTCATCATATTGATTTCCCGACCTAGGTACACGTAGCTGGAGCATTCGGTGATGTTCGTTCCGTTGAGCGTGAATGGGGCATCAGGAACCAATCCGTTTCTCATAAACATCGTCTTCGTTAGGTTCAGCTGCAGACCGACCTTACCACAGGCGCAGTCGAAATCAGCCAGCATTCGCTCCGCTTGCTCGATGTTCGGCGTTATAAGAACGATGTCGTCAGCAAAACGAAGGTGGTGTAGTTGCCGGCCGTCGACCTTCACTCCCATGTCTTCCCATTCCAGTTGACGCATGACGTTCTCGAGAGCGGCGCTGAAGAGTTTGGGCGAGATGGTGTCCACTCTTGACGTCGATGATGACCTCCTTGTAGAATGGTGAGATTCTGGTCGTAAAGTTGCTGTAGAGCTCACGAAGAATCTTGATGTACTGAGTAGGGACGCCCTGGTTGCCCAAGGCTTCGATGACCGCTTCTGTCTCCACAGAGTCGAAGGCCTTCTTCAAGTCGATGAACGTGAGACAAAGCGGCATCTTGTACTCTCGTGAAACTTCAATGAGTCTTGTAACCGTGTGGATATGGTCGATCGTGCTGAACCCTCTTCGAACCCTGCTTGCTCGCATGGCTGTCCTTCATCTAGTATTCTGCCGATCCTGTTAAGGATGACTCGAGTGAATAGCTTGTAGATTACAGACAGCAGGCAGATTGGGCGATAGTTGCCAATGTCGTCCAAGTCTCCCTTCTTGTACAGCAACACGGTCCTGCTGGTTTTCCACGGAGTGGGTACCTTGCATTCCGACAGGTAGCGCGTGAAGAGTCGAGCCAGAGTTCTGATGTTTACAAGAGCGTGAGTCCAGCAGTTCAGCGTTTCTTTGTGAACTTCGCAGGCGACTGCGCCAAAGGCAGTTACAGCGAAACAGTCGAGGCTGAGTTGTTGTGTAATGGTGCGTTCTTCAGATGTTCGGGTTTAACCTGTCGAGACGGGGCGCTGTACAATTCTTCACCGACTTGATGGCGTGTCGGACTTCGGAAGAGAGAACTGAGGGGACAACGTATCCATCCTCTTGCGGTTGATAAGTAGGCAGATGGACATGGCTATCGAAGAGATCCGAGTAGAAGTCGTGGATGACTTTCTCCATTGCCCTTCGGGATGCAGTAACTGTTCCATCCGGACGTCGGAGGCAGGTCATCTTGGTCTTGTAGCTGGCAAAGCTTCGGCGGGCATTGCGGATGCTCCTCCCAGCCTCTGCTGCTTCAGCTAATACTGCTGCTCTTCGCTCCTTGAGATCTTCCTTTATCGCCTCTCTGCATAGCTTCGCAAGCTCGGACGTGAGTCGGTGATTGCCTGCAGCTCGTGCGGCTCCACGCTGGCGTATCAGTTCGAGAGACAGACGTCCCTTGGTGACTTTCAAACTCTCTGCCTTCCTGCCACAATCGTGAAGATGTTCAACGAGCCGATAGTACTCCTCGTCGATGTTTTCGATGAACGGATCCTCCCATCAGCTGACGAGAGAAGCGAAGTGGTCCCCGTTGATGATTGTCCTTGGGCTTCGCTTCCTGAACTTTGCTGCTCTCTCAACACGCATTGAGAAGTGCAATCCTGCGCGGAGGAG